AACATGGTGTACATGTGTTTTTATGGTAGAATGATTTGTATTTTTTGGGCATATATCCAATAATGAATTTGCTGAGTCAAACAGTAGTTCTGTGTTCTCTGAGAAATTTCCAATCGGCTTTCCACAGTGGCTGAACTAATTTGCATTCCCATCAGCAGTGCACAAGTGTTCCCTTTTCTCCACAACCTCATGAGCATGTGGGTTTGTCATAAATGACTCATGATTTTGAAGTATGTTCTTTCAATGCCTAGTTTGTTAAGCATTCTTTACATAACAGGATAGTGAATCTTATTGAAAGTCTTTTCTGCATCTGCTGAAATACTTATGTGGGATTTTGTTAAACAACCTGCTTCTGAATGAGGTTCTGGTGTGTTGTATCTTTGTTTTCATTGGTTTAAAAGAATTTCTTGACTACTGACTTAATTTCATTATTTATCGAAAAGTCACTCCAGAGTAAGTTGCTCAATTTTCATGTGATTGTATGATTTTTATATATCTTCTTGGTGTGAATTTTTATTTTTATTGTACTACGTTCCAAAAAGTGTGGTCTTTATAATTTTTTAAAATTTATTGAAAATTACATTATGGTCAAACATGTGGTTGATTTTAGAGTACATGCCATGTGCACAAAAAAGGAATGAATATTCTGTTGTTCTTGGGGTGTTGTTCTTGGTGTGTTTTGTGGGTGTATGTTAGGTCCATTTGGTCAAATGTTGAGTTTAGGTCCCAAATATTTTTGTTAGTTTTCTGCCTCAGTGTTCTATCTAATGTTGTCAGTGGAATGTTGAAGTCTCCCACTGTTATTGTGCAGTTATCTATATCTCTTTGTAGGTCTCTAAGAACTTGCTTTATGAATCTGGGTGTGCCAATGTTAGGTGAAGATATATTTAGAACAGTTAAGTCTTCTTGTTGAATTGAACCCTTTATCATTATGCAGTGCTGTTTGTCCATTTTGATTGTTGTTGGTTTATAGTTTATTACATCTGAAATTAGAATAGCAACCCCTGGGTGTTGTGTTTTCAGGTTGCTTGGTAGGTTTTTCTCCATCTCTTGCTTTGAGGCTATGGGTGTCATTGCATGTGAAATGGGTCCCTTGAAGAAATTATACTGTTGGCTCTTGCTTCTTCATCCAATCTGTCATGCTGTGTCCTTTTATGTGGGGTGTTTTTCCCCTTTACATTCAAAGTTAATGTTGATATGTGCAGATTTGATCCTGTCATAGTGTTGTTAGCTGGCCCCTAAGCAGATTTGATTGGGTAGTTTCTCTATAGTGTCAATTGTCTACCTACTTATACACATTCTTGTGGTGGCCTGTATGGTCTTTTGTTTCCACGTTTAGCATTCCCCTACGGGCCTCTTGTAAGGCAGATCTGGTGGAACAAATTCTCTCTGCATTTGCTTGTCTGAAAACGATTTTATTTCTTCTTTGCTTATAAAGTTTAATTTTGATGGATATCTAATTCTTGGCTGAAATTTCTTTTCCTTAAGAATGCTGATGGAGGCTCTCAATCTCTTCTGGCTTGTAGGGTTTTGCAGAGAGGTCTACTCTTCACCTAATGAGACTCTCTTTGTAGGAAGCCTGCCCCTTGTCTCTATTTGCAATATTTTTTCTTTCACAATGAGTTTGGAGGATCTGATGTCCATGTGTCTTAGGGATGGTTGTCTTGTATAGCAATATCCTCAAATGTGTTTTCCAAGTTGCTTACTCTCTCTCTTTCACTCTATTTCAGGGATGACAATTAATCACAGGTTTGATCTCCTTACACAATCCCATATTTCTCACAGGTTTTTGCTCATTCTTTTGTATTTTTTTTCTTTGTTTTTGTCTGACTGAATTGATTTTAAGAACCAGTCATGGAGATCTGAAGTTCTTTTTTTACTTTTGTCTATTCTCTGGTTAATACTTCTGATTGTACTATGAAATTCTTCTAGTGATTTTTTTCAGCTCTGTTATATCAGTTTGATTCTTTCTTTAAATGGCTATATCCGCTTTCATCTTTTCATTGCTTAATTGGATTTTTTATATTCCTTGGATTGGGTTTCAACTTTCTCTTAAATCTCGATGACCTTCATTGCCATCCAGATTCTGAATTCTAAGTATGTAATTTCAGCCATTTCAGCTTGGTTAAGAACCATTGCCAGAGATAGGTAGGAAGACATTCTGGCTTTCTGAGTTGACAGAGTTCTTGCGCTAGTTCTTCCTCATCTGCGTGGGCTGATGTTCGTTAAAGTTTTTGTCCTTTGGGTGAGGCTTTTTGCTTTTACATTCTGTGATGCCTTGAGGGCTTGACCATATTTGTTTTGTAAGTTGGGTTCAGTCAACTGACTTTGTTTCTGGATGATTTTTAGGGGGCTCATGCTAAGCTTAGTATTCCTGGCTGCATGCTCTAACCCTGGGGGGCTGAAACCAGGCCCATGGCTTTGTTTTCTGGACCCTCAAGGTTAAACAACTGCTGTGCTTGAGGGGCCAAGGTATTCCCGGTATGCTGGCGGCAACATTCCATTTGGGGATGCTGTTGAAAGTGCTTTGTCTGGGTGATGGCAGCAGGGTCTGCACTCCTGCATGCAGACCAGCAGCAGCTGGCTGGTGGTGTAGCAAGATCTGCATGGATGTGTGTACATGCGGTGGTGGTAGTGGCCTGTTGGGTTCCACGCATGCATGCCTGGCAGCAGCAACAGGGAGACATGGTGGAGTCCACACATCCAGGTGTGTTCCAGCAGTGGTAGCTCTATGGGGTCTGCATGTGCACATGCACTGGCAGGGGTGAGGCTGCAACAAGTTCCATGCACACATACCAGAAAAATAAAGGGGAAAGCCATGCGTGAGTGCGCACCAACGGCGCATGCGTGTTGGCAAGGGCCCATCTGCTAAAGCTCTCCAATGGTTAGGTAGGGTCTGCTAGTGAAGGAGCTATGGCAGCAACAACAGGGAAGCATCCCGGTTGAGCATCTGAGGTTGTGCTGCAAATGGATGTGGCCAAGGGGGGACCCCAGAAGAGTATGTCTGACAGTGGGGTCCACAGATCAGAATGGCCTTGTCCCACAGGCAAGGCAGCCCTATTTTGTACAGGTCCAACAATCGACAAAAACAAACGCCACCTAGAGGAGTGTGGGGGGCCTTGAGGTATGAGTGCTCCTGGCTGTGCTCCACTCCAGGTGTTCCTTAACCAAATTCCCTGGACTCCACACAGGCTGGAGACCTGTGCCTGCCACTTTTCCAAGCAGCTCTCCCTCCCAGATCAAAGTGTCTGTGGGGGTCATGGGGTCTCCTGCAGCTATAATTCTGGAGGTTTCTAGTGACAGTGGACCACTCCTCTAATATATAACTCACCCCTTCCCCAGGAGATGCTGGGAGCCAGGAATGAGTGCTGGTGCTCAACAGCCCTGTATAAGATTCCTGACTTCCTCCCCAATCAACACAGGGTCTATATCCTCCCTCCATCCAGCCTCAATTCTTTCCTTCCAAAGATGTGCTCAGACTGTGTTGGTCTTCTTTGTCTGGTTTTCTGATGGGAGATAACCTTCCTGGCTGTGTCTAGTTGGCCATCTTTGCTCCCCTCCCTCTCATTTTCTTTTCACTAAGTAATCCATGTTATTTCTTTTAGTTGGAGAATATAATTCATTTACACTCAAGGTAATTCTATATGAGTAAAAAGTTGGTATTACCATATTGTTATTTGTTTTCTAGTTGTTTTGTATAAACTTCTTCATTTTTTCATTTCTTGCTATCTTCCTTTGCGGTTAAGTGATTTTTTTTCTCTGTCAAGTATGTTTTGATTTCTTGCTTTCTGCTTTTATTGTGTCTGTTAAAAATTTTTGCTTTGTGGTTATCAAAGCTTACAAAGAACATCTTAAAGCAGATTATTTTGAATTGATACCCAATTAATTGTAGTCACAAAAAAAGGAAAAAGAAAAACTCTATTTTTTATACATTTGGCTCCCATCACAACCTATAGACACTTTTTTCTCCACATGTTGGTTAATGGTTTAATCTGCAATCTCAGTTTTTTGATGTTTTCCATAAAAAGCACTAATGTGCAGTTTGTCCAACCTTTACTCTGCCGTACATGTGGAAGCAATGCTATTTCCAGCTTTCCATATCTCTTATCTGAAGCCAGAAACCTGAAAGGAATACTTTCTTTATTTATCCCAGTAAATACTTTCAGCAATAATGAACTACAAAATAGAGACAAATTTTAAAGTAGCATATAAGTGTAACATCTCTGGGAACCACACAGATAGATGGTTTCATAGCTTCTCGGGATTTTTTTTTCAGGATTCACACAAGCTAATTTAATTTCAAAACACATCAATTTACACACCCAAGAAGTGCTTTGAACTCCAAGTACGGTAAACACAAAGAGATCCATTCATAGACACATGATAAGCACACTGCCATAAGACAAAGGCAAAGAAAGAATCTCAAAAGAAAAAAAGAGAAGCAACTCATTTTGTGTAAGGAATTCTTAGTAAAAGTAATAGAATATTTTTATCAGAAATAAAACAGAGGCCACATGGTGATGGATTGAAATATTCAAAGTGCTGAAAGAAAGAAACTTTCAAGCAAGAATTCTATACCTAGTCTACCAACAAATTAAGAGCATTGAGCAATATGCAAACAGCTGTGTATTTTAGAAAGATATGTTCAAGTAGGATGTAAGATATATATCAAACTATTAAAAGTAATGTTACCAAGGTACTAGAATAATGGTGACTCTGTTCTTTCTGCATTTATAAACTTTTTCAATAGTATCCATATTGTTTTTAAAAATATAAACATTAATGTTACATAATACACCATAAAATATTAAGCTTGAAATATATAACTTTTCAAATATTTTAGATGAAGTTTCAAGGTTTTATTTAAAGGTAGAAAAATATATATAATGTAGTATTTATACTCAATAGCTAATTATATTCCTTTCATGATTTAAAAGAAAACTAGAAAACTACAAAGGCAATTTTCCAGTACATCATAACATCAGAATGATGACAGTCACCTGTGAGTTTAAATGAACTTTGTAGGGCTGGTCTTTCTGCCAAATATGGCTGTAATTTTCTGCTAAACTTGATACATTTGGATCATTATTTTTCATTTGATAAATTATATGTTCAAATCTTGCTGAAAATTCCAATGGTTCAATTCCATAACTAATATTTTCAAACTGAAGAAATCCCCTGAAAATTTAGAAGGCAATAAGGGAATAATTATAAAAATCCCACAAATGTTCCCATCAAAATGATAATCTGAAATGGCGTAAGAAATAAGAAACTATACTAAAGAACACATTTAGAGACCATTTTCTTTTTTCATTTTTTAGGAGGGGACAGTTTATCATTAGTAAAAGCCACCACATCTGGCTTCGTTTTGCTTACATTTTAAAGATCGAAATGCAATTAAGAATATTTCTGAAAGACAATCAAATGAATTAAGGCCAAATTTACCAAAAACCAATATATTTGTTGAGAATTCCAGGAATAACGTTACTGTTCTTACAGAGGTTAGATAAGGGAAAGGACATAAGTAGACTATATAGCTAAAGAGGTTGTTATCTATAAAAACCACATTCAGAGAATGCCAATTTTCTGAGTTGATGTGAATAAATTTCAGAAATCAGGCAATTGAAACCAAAGGAAAGTTAGAGGGAGCATTTTTTTCTCTGCTCTGGATCCTTCTTTTCCTGATAAACTTACCATAAATGAGTCTCCCAGCATCAGTAACAAAAATGACTCATCCTCATCCTTTATTCCTGAGGGATCTTCTTAATTAGCTGTTTTATATCTGGTACTAAGCTGAAAACATACTATATTTTCCTATTGTAATTATATAACTAATTAGTGCCATTTTCCATAACTATTTGAGAAAACAGATACAGAATGCAACAATTACACTGATGGAGATGTTTTAAAGTTTTCTTTCATGAAAATATCCCATTTTTCATGATATCCCTGGATTGATTTCATGGGAATAGGCCCTTAAATCCAAGTATTAACATTAATATAAATAAAATAAATCTGTTATAAAGAAAACTTTCAGCTTTGATTTCCCTTAAACTTCCACGATTTGCGTGTGTTAGTCACTAAGTTTTGTTTTAAAGTGTATCTTAAATTCTCCATCTGTAGATTTCTTATAAGGTGCTATTACCTGAGACCAGAACATATACTGAGTGTCACAAATGAATTTGGAAATTCGGCAGCATATCCTTGGTAATGGCAATGCATCTGAAAAACATTATAGAAAGGCAAGTATACAAATTTGTTGTGAATAAAATATGTATTGTCGAACATTTCAGAAGATATAAAATACTAAAATATTTAATAATAAGATCATGAATCATACAGAATTATTAATGCATATTTTCAAAAAAAAAAAGATATTTGACAATTCTCTTTGCAGCACGTAGGTCTCTGTGAGTGTTCTCTTGTACCTGGGTTTCATCTCTATCACATGCCATTTCTAAGTACAAATTCAATAACATATCAGTAAAGATAAAACATTTGTATTAAACTGTCAACATGAAAAGCATTCTAATGGTAATAAAATATCCACTTCAACAAAAAAACATAAGGTATCTTAGTTTACCATAAAATATGGAGACTCAGCATGCAAAGATCCAGTTTCACTATATGTAAAAACCAAAAAGTTCTGGGGTAAGAATGAGCTAAAAAAAAACAAGAAATAATAAAAAAGTTTGAGTCATAATTTTAATATAAATGTTAAAAAACAAATATCACATACATTTTCTGTAACATGATTTAATCAGCTTTATATAATGGCATGATTTAATTAGAGTTAATTTATGAGGCATAACAGTTGAAATTCATACAACTGGTGAATCAAGGAGTTTAGACTTTCTTAGCATTGGGGCAGTCTCTGAGACTCCCCTGCATCAGATATTTGTGTGTATGGCTGTGTGTGATGACATTCAATAAATGTATTGAGTGCTCACTAGGTGCTGAGATTCAGCAATAAACAAGAAACAAAAAGCCTTAGTCTTTGTGACAGCCAGGAGCACATAGTACTAGCAATTAGATGACAATAGATAAGGCCTAGGGAGGGTGGTTACAAAATATAGATAGGATTGCATGGAAAAACTCTCTGAATAGATGATTAAATACCTGAGGAATAAAACACATGGATTTTCACAGAACTGTTATTCTAGACAGAGTTAATAGAAAATGCAAGGACCCCCAAGCAGAAATATGCTTTATATAAACAAGGAACAACTAGGGAACAATATGACTGAGTGTGAAGTGATGAAGAGAGACTAGGGTAAGAGATGGTGTCACAGAGATGAGAAGCACTGGAGTGTTTGAGCAGATAAAGACAGCGTCAGACCAAATGTTTTAGTAAAATCAGATAGTGCTGTGTTAAGAATAATCTGCAGGACAAACAAGCAGAAGAAACAGGGAGACCACTTAGATGTAAGAAATGATGGTGCTTTGAACTGAAATAGCATCAATGGGGAAGGTCTTATTCTGGATATATTTTGTAGGGTTTTGATATAGATATAGATATATGTTGAATACATGGATTTATAATCCACTGGAAATAGGGGAAAACAAAAGAAAGAAAGATGTCAAGTATGACTCCAACTTTTAAATTTTTTTTTTCATGAAAAACTGATATATTTGCCAATTCCTGACGTTATTGTGAGAAAGACAAATTTGAGAGAAACTCAGAATTCCATCTGGACATGTTACCTATGAGGATTCTAGTATAAACTTGGTTATCAACTAAGTACTCAGATAAATGAATATGGCATTTATAGAAGAGGAATAAGGTAGAAATATTAATTTGGGAACAACTAATACATGGATGATATTTAAAGTCACAAGAATTAAACAACCAGGTGATTGAATATAGCTAGAAAAAAAATGCAGATACAGTACCATGGAGTACTCTGAAATTCAAGAGATAAGAAAGAATCTGCCAAAAATAAAAAAAGATCGAGAAGTAGAGATTAAGACTAAATAAAACACAAGCAGGGCATCAAGAACATGAGGACCACTGATGATTCTATCAGAAAACACTTCTGTGGAGTTGCAGTGGCATGAAAGGTAAACATGAATTAAGTAGGGTAGTCATGAATTAAATGAGAATAATTTCCTCCAGGCTTGCTCAATTACAAAGAAGCAGGAACACAAGGGACAGTTGCTGTAAATACATATGTTTGAAGATGTATAGAAGAGGCTACTTAATTTAATCTTTGTAGAATATTGAGAAAATACAAATCAGGATACAAACGGTAGATTGTTGCTTTGAGTTGTGAGTGAGAACAGAGACTAACTGAAAACACATGAGGGGTCTTATGTGGGGAAAGAATGTTCTAAAACTGATTTATATGTGATGGTGGCAACATTGCATAAAGTCATTAAAATTATTGAATTTTATAATTTAGAGAATTTTATTTGTAAAGTAGGTTCAGTAAACTTGTTAAAAATAGATACATATGTAATCAACACATAATAAAAATTGTGTCACTAGTTGAAGTTTTCACCAATAGTCATTTGATGTGTAACTATATTTGATTTCACCAGATATACTTAATATACAACTTACAGTTTTTCGGTTCAATGGCGTATGTTCAATTGCAGATTATACAAGTATGTAGTTTATTTCATAATTTGAAAATACTAAGCTAAAAATTAAAAGGAAATAGCCCTCTAGATTTGATATTCAAGAAATAATGAATCCTAAATTGGGAAGTCGATTGATAAAGCAAGTCTACATTATATGGCATTCCTGAATTTAAATACTGCACAAAAACTTTAAGGCTGTAAAATCTAAACTTAAAGCTTTCCTTTTTCCTTAATGAAAAAAAAAATCATCTCTTACTTCTTTCTGAGATGTAGAGTGTACAGCTGTCCATCAATTGTAATGATGTAAATAATCTAAAATAAAACAAATCAGTAAAGATTATTAAGGAAATCAGAAATGTATAAAATAAAACAATATTCATCCAAGTTAATAAAAAGGAGTCACTGTTAAAAATGAACATAATCTTTAGAATTTATTATTCTAAATAGTAAGAATTTAGTACCTTAATAAATTCAGGATCAGTGTGACCAATTTAAAGTATGGGGTGACTTTTTAAAATAAAAATGAAAGGAAATTGTGGTATACATACATGATGGAATACTACTCAGCCATAAAAAGAAAGGAATTAATGGCATTTGCAAAATGCATATCATGCAAACATAAATCAAAGGAAAGTAGAAGTTGTTGTATTAGTATTAGAGAATGAGAAGGACATTATATAATGATAAAGGGTATCAATCTAGCAAGACGTAACACTCCTTAGTGGGTATGCCCCAAATGACAGAGCTGTAAAATGTAAGAAGCAAAACCAGACAGAAATGAAAGACTCTCCTCCCCATTGTGTTCTTTTGGTGAACTTGTTGAAAATTTGTTGACTGTATATGTTTGGATTCATTTCTGGGCTCTCTGTTCTGTTCTATTAGTCTCCATGTCTGTTTTGTTGTTGTTGTTGTTGTTATTGTTTTGTTTTGTTTTGTTTTTTAATGACAGTACCATACTGTTTTGAATTTTATGTTTTTTAAATACAATTTTAAATCAGGAAGTATGATGCCTCTAAGTTTTTTCCTCAGTAGTTATTTGGCTACTCAAGGTTATTTTGTGGTTCCATACAAAATTTAGCATTGTATTTTCTATTTCTGTGAAGAATGACACTGGAATTTTGATTGAGATTGCACTGAATCTGCCTACTGCTTGGGTAGTATGAGTATTTTAATAACATTACTCAAGAATAAAAATCAATGGACCCCATAACATAAAAACAAACAACCTATTGCCAATATGGAGAAAGTTTTATCAGTCTGGATAGACAATCAAACCAGCCATAACATTCGCTTAGGCCAAAATTTAATCTGCAGAAAGGCCCTAACTTTCTTCAATTTTATGAAGACTGAGAATGGTAAGAATGCTGAAGAAGAAAAGTGTGAAGCTAACTGAGGTTGGTTCATGAGGTTTAATAAAAGAAGTTATCTCCATAACAAAAATGCAAAGTGATGCAGCAAGTCCTGATGTAGAAGCTGATGTGTAAGATTTAGCAAAGATAATTGATGAAGACTGCTATAATAAACAACAAATTCTCAGTGTAGATGAAACAGCCTTCTACTGGAAGAATATGCCATCTAGGACTCAGCTAGAGACTTTCACAGCTGGAGAGGAAAAATCAATGCACAGCGTTTTAAACATTGTTACTTTAGATTCAAGGGTACCTGTGATTGATTGTTACATGGGAATTGCATGCATGATGTTGGCCTTCTGGTGTACTCATCACCCAAATATTAGGCATTGTACCCAGTAAGTATTGTCCCTCCATCCCCCACTTTGGAGTCCCAGAGTCTATTTTCTTCATCTTTATGTCTAACCATACCATTTACTTAGTTCCTACTTATAAGTGAGAACATGCAATATTTTATTTTTTCACTTCTATGTTATTTCATGTAGGATAATGGCCTCCAGTTCCATCCATGTTGCTACAACAGACATGATTTTATTCTTTTTATGGCTGCATAATATCCCATGGTATATCTTTATCCAGTCAACTGTTTGTGGACATTTAGAATGGTTCCATGTCTTTGTTATTGTGAATAGTGCTGTGTAAGATTTAGCAAAGATAATTGATGAAGACTGCTCTAATAAACAATAAATTCTCAGTGTAGATGAAACAGCCTTCTACTGGAAGAATATGCCATCTAGGACTCAGCTAGAGACTTTTATACCTGGAGAGGAGAAAACAATGCATAGCATTTTAAACATTATTACTTTAGATTCAGGGGAACACGTGCTTGATTATTACATGGGAATTACATGCATGATGTCGGCCTTCTAGTGTACAATAAACATACAAGTGCAAGTGTCTTTTTTATATGATTTACATTCCTTTGGGTAGATACTCATTAGTGAGACTGCTAGGTCAAACATCAAAAAACTAAAAATAGAGCTATCATTCAACTGAATCTTAACGTCTAGTTTTAAAATATAGGCTGACTCTCTTGTTAGTGCCTATTAGAGTTGGTGACTTTAAATTGAAGCCAGTGTTCAGTGACCATTCTGACAATGCCAGGGTCCTTAAGAATTATGCTAAATCTACTATGCTTGTGATGAGAAATGTAACAACAAAGTCTGGATGATAGTATATCTATTTATAACATGGTTTACTAAATATATTAAGCTGACTATTGATACCTACTACTTAGAAAGTTTTCTTTCAAAATATTATTGCTCATTAACAAGGTACCTGGTAATCCAAGAGCTCTAATGGAGACGTGCAAGGGGATTAATGCTGTTTTCCTGCCTGCAAACACAGAACTCATTCTGCCTAGTCAAGGAGTTATTCTGACTTCCAAGCCTTATTACTTAAGAAATACATTTTCTAAGGCTATAGCTGCCATAAATAGTGATTCCTCTGTTGGATATGGGTAAAGTCAATTGAAAATTGTCTGGAAAGAATTCACCATTCTAGATGTCATTAAGACCCTTCATGATTCAAGGAAAGAGGTTAAGATAGTAATATTAACAGGAATTCAGAAAAAGTTAATTACAAACCTCATGAATTACTTTGAGGGATTCAAGACTTTAGTGGAGAAAATAACTGCAGATGTGGTAGAAATGGCAAGAGAAGATACGGTAGAAATGGCAAGAGAGCTAGAATTTAGAAGTGGATCCTGAATATATGACTGAATTTTTGCAATCTCATAATAAAACTTGAATGAATGAGGAGTTAATTCTCATGAATGAGCAAAGAAATTGGTTTCTTTAGATGGAATCTACTCCTGGTAAAGACGCCGTGAATGCTGTTGAAATTACAAAAAAGGGTTTAGGATTTACATAAACTTAGTTGATAAAGCAGTAGCACAGTTGGAAAAGACTGAGTCCAACATTAAAATAAGTTCTACTGAGGGTAAAATGCTATCAAACAGCATTGCATACTACAGAGAAATCTTTCATGAAAGGAATAGTCAATAGATGCAGCAAACTTCATCATTGTCTTATTTTAAGACATTTCCACAGCCACCCAACCTTCACCACCACCCTGATCAGTCAGCAGCCATCAACATCAGGCAAGTCCATCTACCAACAAATGATTATAACTCACTGAAAATTCAGGTGATAGTTACCATTTTATAGTAATAAAGTATTTTAAATTAAGGTATATACATTGTTGTTTTTAGCCATGGCACTGTTGCACACTTAAGCTATAGCACAGTGTAAACATAACTTTGACATGCACTGTGATACCAAAAAGTTTGTGTGACTTACTTTATTTTGGTAGTCTGGAGCCAAACCTACGATATCTCCAAGATATGCCTGTAACTTTCAATTCTGAACAAAAATAAGTAAGGGCATTATAAGTCAAAATAAACAGGAAAATAACCACAGGGAGTCTTGAGAGGGTTTGTGACTTGCTCCAAATGTTCTATTTCCGAACCTAGTGCTAGTTTTGGAGGTGTGTTTACTTTGTGAAAATTCATTGAGATACATATGTTATTTATCAATGTAAAATGTCATTTTAGTTTAAAAAAGAAAACCCAGAAAAAAAGTATTTTGAAAATCAAAGATAAAATGTCCTCTTCCCAAACTACTCGAGCCAAAAAGGAATCATAGTATTCCTTTTAAAATATTGAAAAATGAATAAAAAACTGTAGAATATGACTCAAGGAGTATTTAAAATGAAAGTTTAAAATTTTTAAATGTTACAAAATTAGTAATTAAAAATAATTATGTTATTAAAAATAATAAATATATATACACATACACACAAGTTGGTGTATATATTTATATATATTTATTCATGTGTGTAGTCACTGACATATTTGTGTGTGTGTAAAATATGCATGTCAAGAAAAGTATACATGCACCTTGAGATACATAATATACTCATAGTCATACATAATTTATACATAATATGTAGTTATATATATCTTCTTATATTCTCTATATTAATATCTATAAACAGTCATTTGAAATAGATATTCTGTTTAGATGATTCTTCTCATTCTTACCATGACGATTCATTAAAAAATATATATGGATTTGTTTTGTGCAGACATTTATGATTCCAATGCTTGCTTCTGTGCCTAACATAAATTCATCAAATAAAGAATAAGAAAGCGGGAAGCAGTCAGTAATATTTAAGAGTTGGCTTGGAATTCTGCTGTTGAGAATGAGCACTTTAAAAGGATATCAACATAACACGGGAACACTGTCAGACAATTATGCATCAAGACAAAAGCAAGACTACTTCATAATCATGTGTGAACACAAACTAAATGTAAACCCTTCCCAGCCAAAAAAAAAAAAAAATCAAATATGCCCTATTGGGCTAGCAAGAATGGCTGCTGCTTCTTAGCTAATGACAGATTTAGAAATGTTCTGGTCTTCCTGTGCTCTAGATAAGGCAATTAACTTAAAGAACGCATAAAGAAAATGAGGCATATAAACATATTGGAATACTACTATTTAGCCTTTAAAAAAGACGGAAATCATAGGAAATCATAGTATTATGCCTACTTCCTAACAATATCTAAGCCAGAACAAAGACGTACTTCTTAAAACTTCCCCTAAATTCCCAAAACAGAAGCCAAAATCTTGTAAGTGCTTTAGCGTCCTCCTAAAGAGATGCTCCATGGCTCCCCAAGGAGTATATTCTTCCTCACTGCAATGTGTAATAATCCCCACTTGTTCAATTGCAGGTGTGTTCACAATGGTCTTTGGCAAGGCATTGATAGCAGAATATAAACTCATTCTGAGGTCAGCTCTCCCCAGCTGAAGAGTTGTTTCCCAGTGTTAAACCAATAATGGCACGATGGCTTCCATGTTACACTTAGATAAAACAGAAGGTTTGAAGACTTCTTTATAGTTCCTGTAATGTCCCAAAATTTAAGCCATTGTTTTATGGAATAGAAGAATATATTTTCAAATGATGTATATGACAAGGAGTTAATATCCAAAATGTTATAAGGACCTGCTACAACTCAACAGGCAAAAACAAAACAAATAAGCTGATTAAACAATGGGCAAAGGGCTTGAATAAACTTCTGTCCAAAGAAGACATACAAATGACCATCAGGTATAAGAAACTACTCAATATTGGCTAGGTGTGGTGGCTTATGCCTGTAATCCTAGCACTCTGGGAGGCCGAGGCGGGTGGATCACAAGGTCAGGAGTTTGAGACCAGCCTGGCCAATATGGTGACACTGTGTCTCTACTAAAAATACAAAAATTAGCCAGGCATATTGGCATGTGCCTGTAGCACCAGCTACTTGGGATGCTGAGGCAGAAGAATTGTTTCAACCCAGGAGGTGGAGGTTGCAGTGAGCCAAGATTGTGCTAATGCACTCCACCCTAGGTGACAGAGCGAGACTCTGTCTCAAAAAACAAAAAAAAGAAAAAGAAACTGTATAATATCAAAAAAATGCAGGATCAAAACCACAATGAGATATCACCTCATAGCTATTATAATGGCTTTTATTGAAAAACACACTCACACCCACAAACAAAAGCAGAAGATAACAAGCACTGGCAAGGATGTGGAGAAGTTGGAATCCTTGTACACCATTGGTGGGAATGGAGAATGGTGTAGCCATTATGAAAACCAGTGTGGAAGTTCCAGAAAATTAGAACTAGCACTACCATATGATCCAGCAATGCAACTTCTGGCTACATATCCAAAAAAATTAAAACCATGAACTTGAAGAGATATCTGCAGCCACATGTTAATTACAATATTATTCACAATATTCATTGTTTGGAAGCAACCCAAATGTTCAATGACATGAATGTATAAAGAAAGTGTGGCGTATAAACATATTAGAATACTATTTAGCCTTTTAAAAGAAGGAAATGCTATTTGTGACATGAATGAACCCAAGGGAAACTATGCTATGTTAAATAAGAAAGTCACAGAATGACAAACTCTATATGATTACACTTACTTATATGAGGAATTTAAAATAGTCAAAATAGGTAGATGTGGTAGTTAACGCCTGTAATGCCAGCACTTTGGGAGGCCGAGGCTGGCAGATCATTTGAGGTCAGGAGTTTGAGACCAGCCTGGCCAACATGGTGAAACACCATCTCTAGTGAAAAAAATACAAAATTGGCCAGGTGTGGTGGCATGCACATGTAATCCCAGCTACTCAGGAGGCTGAAGCACAAGAATTGCTTGAGCCCAAGAGGCGGAGGTTGCAGCAAGCCAAGATGACACCACTGCACGCCAGCCTGTGCGTCAGAGAAAAACTCCATCTCAAATAAATAAATAAAATAAAATAGTCAAAATCATAAAAGCAGAGAATAGAATAGTGGTTTCCAGGGGTCTGAGGAAAGAGAGAAATGGGGAACTGTTACTCAATGAACATAAAGTTGCAGTAATAAGAAATGAGTAAGTTCTTCAGATTTGCGGTATACCACAGTACCCATAGTTAATGATACAGCATTGTGCATTTGAAAATATGTTAAGGGGATCAGTCTTACGTTCAGAATTCTTAGTACAAAATATAAAACAAAAATATGCAAGGACATTTTTGAAGGTGATGGATATGTTTAGTACATGGATTGTGATAATGATATCATGGGTGTATGCATATATTTAAACTCATCAAAATGTATATATTAGATATGTGCAATTTTTATATGAATTATAACTCAATAAAGTTTTTAAAACATGAAAAGAAGACCCTATACAACAAAATATAGCTTTAAGAATTCCATATAAATAATACCAAAAGTGGAGACAAGTACTGAATACTGCATGTCTCTTACAGCAAAACTATTTCATCAAGCCCTGCATAGTTGCTATATGCTTCTTGACAAGTAGTAAGAAATTTTTTTTTTTTTTTTTGAGACGGAGTTTTGCTCTTGTTACCCAGGCTGGAGTGCAATGGCGCAATCTCGGCTCACCGCAACCTCCGCCTCCCTGGGTTCAGGCAATTCTCCTGCCTCAGCCTCCTGAGTAGCTGGGACTACAGACACGCGCCACCATGCCCAGCTAATTTTTTTGTAGTTTTAGTAGAGTCGGGGTTTCACCATGTTGACCAGGATGGTCTCGATCTCTTGACCTCGTGATCCACCCGCTTCGGCCTCCCAAAGTGCTGGGATTACAGGCTTGAGCCACCACAAGTAGTAAGAAATTTAAAGTTCACAGTGATTATGCAATGACAGTGTACAACTGTAGTAAATCAGGAAAAAAACAGAATACACACACACACACACACACACACACACACACACACACACACAGTTTTTTTAAAGAAATGAAGTCTCACTCTGTCACCCAGGCTGGAGTACAGCGACACAATCACAGCTGACTGCAGCCTACAAAACCTGGGCTCAAGGGATACTCCTGCCTCAGCCTCCAGAACAGCTGGGACTACAGGCACACACCACCACACCCAGTTATTTTTGTAGAGATGGGGTCTCACCAACTTGCCCAAGCCAGCCTCAAGCAAACTCCTGGGCTCAAGCTGTCCTCCCACCTTGGGATTTCAAAGTGTTGGGATGGGATTACAGCCATGAGCCACTGTGCCCAGCAGAAAATAACTTATGCAAATTATTTTTCAACAGAAAGCAGCTTACTGTAGTGGAATTGGAGTTATAAATTAAAGACTGTACATGCTGACACACATTTTATGCCATTAATATTTTTTAATCCTCTGTCTTTTCAAAAGAATATATGTAACTAACATACTACTTCAGAAGGATAATGTGATAATTAATAAGATTTATATATGAAAATCCTTTCCAACTTCTCTAAGGAAAGTATTTATTTTATTGTGATTCACAAACACAATTCAACAAATATTTTATTTGTTATAATTGTTACTAGTAAAACGACCATGGTCGCAATACTGTGTGCCAAAACAGAATTAATCGATTAATTTTTTCCTTACTCATAATTTTAAAATCACTCCTTCAACCTGAAAACATTTTCAGAGTTGACCTATATTGTGCCCATTTTGCCTGCATAGAAATATAAATCCCTATATTGTGACTTCCAGTTTGTAAAATAAAACATTTTAACGATGTCAATTTTAGCTATTTTAATCAAGAAAATATACAAGACTAAATGCTTTCAATGTAATCACTTTTTAATCTAGCAGGTAATTTTCCTACTTCTTTTTCCGGTTAATATCGATTTATTGTAATATTTTTCAGCATAATAGAGCAATGTGATATTTTTATTTTTTCTTTGTTTTTTATTTAAATTTCTTTGTAAGTTGCATGCCATTATGATTGATGATTGCAGGTCATATTTTGCATGTCTAAATTTTTCTTATGACCAATTTCTAAGTCATTTAGTGGACAATAAAAAATGTGTTAATTTGTTGGCTAAACCATGATCATGCATGTTTTATATTGATTTTTTTTCTTACCAGTTTGCTGAATATTTCTTGGAAATTGTGAGCAAGTAGTATGTTAAGAAGAGATAAAGAGAAGATACAGGGAATAAGCAGCAGAAATGAAGGAACTGGAGGATCAAAACATGGCAGAAGACAAAACAGCACAAGCAAAATATTATGATTTGGGAGCGAATACAAATTAGTATGATCTGACTTAAAATGAGGGTAAATAAAAATAGCCATAAATCTTTTAGAGAATGAATATTCTTCATCATTTACCTTCCTCTCTGCAACTTCACTCTCATTTGACATCATCTTGCGTGGAACTGTGACATGCAGAAATATTCCTTCAGAACCTGCTGTAAGAAAATGTGTTTGTTTTCCTCTTTGTTTTGCATCAACCGTCATCTCAGCCAAGTATGGGTTCTTACCCCTGATTGCATGACGGCGTCTAAAATTTTCAGTAAACGTTTTTGCATGTGCTCACACTCTTTCTAGTCCATAGATTTCACTACATACTCAATAGCACATTGAAAATGGCTAGGACACAAAAAAAACAACAACAAAAAAATTAAGCATTGCAGTTCTACATGGCCGTCCGGTTCCCTTTTAGAACTGCTGCTAGACTTCCTTCCATCAGGACTCTGAGGAGTTGGTGAAGGCAGTTAGTACTCTACCACCTCCATCCTCCTTCACCGGGTGGGAAGATCCGGGAGACGCTCTGCCTGTGCGCCACCGAGACCATGGGCCCTGGTGCAGACGCGAACACCTCCTCTGCTAAAGTTTTTGGTTCCGCTGGCCTGGTGTGGGAAGGGGTGCCTGACACACCGGAAATACCGGCATGGGATCCCCAGAAGGGAATGGGAGAGGTTCCCAGAATGACAGGAAACTGTTCTTGGTAAGAGCCCAGCCCAGCTCTAAAGCAGAAGAAAGGGGAGGATCCCATGGTCTCACCTAGGTGGGCTTGCAGCCCCCCAAGCTCAGTTAGGAGGGTAAGGAGAAGGAACATGGCTCGGCCGGAGCGCGGGAAGCACAGCTGAGGACAGAGACCGTTGGGCAGCGCTGAGCTCGCGGGCAGGCTCTCGGCCAGCGGGCACCTGGGCCATGGGAGGACCCTGCGCTGCCCTAAGGCCCTGGGGGTGGAGGAGCTCTGGGGGCTGGGCCACTTCTGCAGGGCAAGGAGAGGAGACGCCAGATGCAAGCATGGGTATTTGCACAAAACTTGTTGCAGAGAAGTTTACATTATTTAAACCCCTCAGTAGTTACATTGGGGTCAATAAGCCTGATTTTCCTTTTTAGCGAGGTTCTTGGTAATTTTGTTTCTCCGTATCACAGTTTTATCGCAGGTTTTATTTACTAAGGTGGCGGAGAAAGAGGAAAAGAGAAATAACAGCTATTATTATTAGCTATTATTATTAGCTATTACTACTAGCAATTTCCTTCCTTCCTTCTTTCCTTCTTCTTTCCTTCCTCCCCTCCCTCCCCCCCCCACCACCTTTTTTTTTTTTTTTTTTTTTTTTGAGACGGAGTTTCTCGTTGCCCAGGCTGGAGTGCAATGGCATGATCTCAGCACACCACAACCTCCACCTCCAGGTTCAAGCGATTCTCCTACCTCAGCCTCCTGAGTAGCTGGGATTACAGGCGTGCGCCACACGCCCAGCTAGTTTTTTGTATTTTTAGTATAGACAGGGTTTCTCCGTGTTGATCAGGCTGGTCTTGAACTCCCTACCTCAGGTGATCCGCTCCCCTTGGCCTCCCAAAGTGCTGAGATTTCAGGCATGAGCCACTGTGCCCAGCCTATTACTGTTTTCGACATGCTACTGCTGACTTAAATATCTTTGCAAATAAGAAAAAATCAAGAAAATTGTACTTTTTAATGCTGGTACAATTTCACCATTATTCACAATACCAAGATATGGAATCAGCCTAACTGTCCATAAGGAATTAGTGAATAAAGAAAGTGTGGTACAGATACACAATGGAATAAGTATACAGCCTTAACAAAGGAAATTCATTTGCAACAACAGGGGTGGAGCCAGAGAATATTACTCTAAGGGAAATATGCCAGGCACAGAAAGACAAATACTGTATGATCTCACCTGTATATGGAATCTAATAAAGTCAATCTTATGGAAAGGTGATTACCAAGGCTGGGGAAGATGAGAGGAGGGATGGGAAAGGGAAAATATCACTCTAAAGATACAAAGTGTCAGGCAGACTGGGAGAATAAGTTGTTGTGATCTCATGCACTATATAGTGACCACAGTTAATAATAACACGTATTTCAAAATTACTAAAATTTACTTTCAACATTCTCACCACAAAGAAACGATAAATTGATTAGGTGATTGGTATGTTAACTAGCTTAATTGAAGCATCCTATAATGTATACATAGATCGAACCATCACACTGTGCCCTATAAATACACAAAATTATTTGTCCAAAATAAATTTGCATATAAGAAAATGGAGTTGATCCTACTAAGACCATTAAGAAGGACTTTTCTTCAACTGTGTATTTTCTCATAATAGTACATCATAATCAGTGGGGGAAAGAGAAAGGAAAGCTTTAATATTTAGTATTATTTTTGCAAATATGGAGAATTCAAGAAAATGGAACTTTGTCTTGAAAAGGTAATCAGAAAGCACTTTTCTTCAGCTGTGTACCTTGCTTACCACATAATATTATAATATAGTGTTCCAAGGGAAAAGGAAACTTTTACAATGTAATCTGTTTTGTTAACAGAGACTGTAAGCTCTAAGTAAGAAACTTAAGACAGGAAAGGCAGCAAGTCAAAAGGAGAGAGAAAAACTGAGACCACTGTAGAGGACTATGCAACTGTCTCCCTTAACTTTTTGACAGATATCTTAAATGGTACTTGTCCAAAACCTAACTCATCTATCACACTTCTTACTTAAGCCTTTTACTCCTGTACCTCCTATGGGATGAATTGTGTCAACAGTTTGCAAAAATAAAACTGATTAGGGCTGGGTGTGGTGTAATCTCAGCACTTTAGGAGGTCGAGGCGAGCGGATCACCTGAGGTCAGGAGTTTGAGACCAGCCTGACCAACGTGGTGAAATTCCATCTCTACTATAAATACAAAATTAACCAGGTGTGGTGGCGGGCGCCTGTAATCCCAGCTACTTGGAAGTCTGAGGCAGGAGAATCACTTGAACCTGAGAGGCAGAGATTACAGTAAGCCAAGATCGTGCCATTGCACTCCAGCCTGGGCAACAAAAGTGAAACTTCATCTCAAAAAATAAATAAATAAATAAAATTGATCAGGACTAAAACTTGGATCTGCAAGGTACTGGTACACCTGAGCAGCAGATAGCTAAAAAATTATTATTAACAATAGGCAGGCCAGTGAGCACAATGACCCAAAATGAGTTAGTGGCAATGAGGATGAGAGAAATCTGGTAGAATTATCCCAGGTTATATTTTCTGGTAGAATTATCCCAGTATATTTTTAAACTGCTTTATTGATATATAATTCACATATCATACAATTTATCCATTTCAAGCATACAGTTAAGTGATTTTTAGTATGTTCACAGATATGTGTGACCATCACTAGAGTCAATTTAAAATTAGTTTCATCTCATCATGAAGAAACTCTGTGCCCATTAGCTGTAAAGTACTCTCCCACCCCCAACACAAGTTCTTTATCTCTTACCTCTACTCCCTAAACAACCACTAAACTAATTTCTATCTTAATAGATGTCTCTATTCTGGACATTTCATACAAATGAATATGTTATAGGAGGCAGGAAGAAATTATTTAGGGAGACAGGGTAAAGCGAGTCCCCAGAAGGAATCTTTCCTTTTAATGAAACGCAGCTCAGAAATAGCCCCCTTTCTAACTTCATGCAGTTCAAAGAAATCACTTCTAACAACAAGCAGGCTGAAAGTTGAGGCTGTAAATCACAGATCAGCATCTTGGGCACAGAAGGAGAGGTGAAGTCTCCTGGGTAATCACCAAACTTCACACTTATACAATGGGCCCCAGTAAAACAGCAGGCCTTAATAAGCACATTCTTTTCTCTTCAGGCACACTAAGATAGGGAAGGGGAGGGGGATGCCTGCAGCTGCAAGATGTCTGGGAACAGACACAGAAATTCTCCTTCCCAGATAAGCATCACAAAGTGAGGCAGATTGAGATTCTTCCTATGTGGGCAGGGAATGGGATGGAAGCTGACAAAACACTCTGCTCTATACAGATAGCACACCTGGTCTCAATTACACTGTCCAGCCCTAAGGGAATAAGACATAAGACATCCCCTCCTCACAAGCTCCCACCTCACTAGCCCATTTATAAAAATCCTGACATTCTTATTACAACTTGGCAACAGGTTTGGGACCGCTCTCTGTGATGGAGAGCTGTTCTTTCCTTTTGCCTGTTAAACTCCTGCTCCAAACTCACTTTGAGTGTGTATGTGTGTCCATGACCTTGATCTTCTTGGCCATGAGACCAAGAACCTTGGTATTTACCCCAGACAATGAGGCTGCTTCAAATACACATGTAAATATCCAATGTTTGTGACTGGCTGTATTCACTTAGCATATTGGTTTCAAGGACCAATCATATTATAGCAGTGTCAGTGCTTCATTCCTTTTTAGGGCTGCATAATATTCCATTGTTTGGATATACCACATTTTGTTTATCTTTTCTTCAGTTGATGGATGTTTGAAATAGGAAACTCTGAACCTCTGTGGTGAGGCTCTTCCACCCCAGTCCCAGGAGCACCTTGGTTTGTGATGGAGGTCCTAACAACTCCAGGTGGGCTGATGGATCCCTAACCCATGTGTAATGCTCTGTGAAGTGCTCCCATCTCAGCAAGAGTGGGAGGGGAGGGAAGACTAAGGAAAGGACATCTTACTCAGAAATGCCCAGCTTCAGGGAAGATAGAGCAGCAAGTTTGGGTTTTCCCAAAGGACAGAGAAATCCTGTAGATCAGTGTATACAGGACCAAGGAAGCATTTGTACCTGATGGTACTATGACCCAAAACTCAGTTTGGGCAATTTCTTTAAAGTAGAAGGGATACTAGTGACTATCTGGGGTCTGTGAGAGTAATTACCTAGCAATTCTTCTACTTGGTATTCCAAAGCCTGGAAGAGACAGGGCAGGGGAATCATGAACTATTGGAGAGGTGTGGCTGTTGGTGTCCTCTCTTGAGACAGGATCAGTCAGCATATCCGTGGGCATCTGAAGAATCTAAATGTTTTCAGATTAGGATGTTGCTGGGAGAAGGTCCTGATGTGTATAATGGAGAATATGTTGTTTGCTGAGAAGCGATGGCAAGGAACACCGAGCCATCCCCGGGCAAAAAACTGCTAGAATAAGTACGTAATATGTTCTGGTTATGCACTAGTTAAACCAGTTCCCAAAACACAGGATATTTGACTTTGTCCCCATTGCTGACTCACAAAGAGTGCTTTCTAGCTTACTTTTATTTTAGTAGTGAATAGGCACTATCTGACTGTTTAGTCTATCTTTATTCTATGAAGAAACATTGAGCACCTGCTTATTAAAAATAAGCACTTGTTCACAAAAAATACATGGGTCAGAGTCTGCTCTGGGCTGTCAGCTGGGAAGTGCTGTCAGATCCCTGACAGTCCCACTCTGATCCCACTTTTGCACTCTAATTTTGTTTTCTGTTTCTTAATTCCTTCAGTGCCACCTGGGTTGGAGACTCTATGACC